GAAAATGATACAAAGATCCTTGGGTAAGGATTCAAATTTTATTTATTTATTTTTAGATTTTTTCAATTTTTTACTTAAAAATATTTAATTTATTTATTTTAGACAGAGGGGAAGGGAGGGACAAAGAGAGGGAGAGAAAATCCATGTGTGTTTGCCTCGCCATATGGTTGGTGCTACAGCTTGGTGCTACAACTTCTTTCTCTTCCTTCTATGTTTCTATCTCATTCGATTCCTCTGCTCATTCATTTGCTCATTCAGTCACTCAACAAATACCCTGAGAAGCCTGTGTGCCTAATGCTGTGCTGGATGACTCTGGGACCACAGAGTTCATCCGAATTAGCCCCAGAGCTCTGTCTTCCCACCATCCTTCCCTGCCAGACTTCTCCACATGTGCCTCCTCACTGCGTGCACCCTGCAGCCAGGCTCTTTTTGGGTTCCCACAGACTTCCATGTTGAGCAATCCAGAGGCCACCTGTCTGTCCATCTGTCTGAACATTTCTTACTCAACCTTTCCGCAACATTCCACATGCCAGCCGCTCCTCTCTGGCTTCCGGAAGCCATGCATTGCTGGTTTTCCTCCTACTTTGTTGGCTCCCCTTCCTGGCCTCCTATATGAATAGGCCTTTTCTTCCTTCACTGGCGTCTTCACAAACAAGGGTGTTCCCAGGGCCCTGTCCTAAGCCACGGCAGATGCACTGACTGCATACACCTGACAGTCTCTACCTGTCATCCGTCACTGGGGCGGCTTGGTTCTCAGGCCTCTCCCCAACTTCCTGAATGACCCAAACTGAGCTCACTGGCTGTCCACGTCGACCTGTTCTCAGAACCCTGTTGGTCTGCATGGTGGCCCCACCATCTACTCAGTCTCCCGGTGCAGACCCAACCCTATCTAGAACCCAAGTGCCTGGATGTGTCCCATCAGGCCCCAAGACTGACTGCCTCCACTACCGGCTCCGTGTCTTTGAAATCTGTCTCTCCAGCTCCTGCAGTTTGAGTCCACTTTGCTTCCAAACTGCTCCCCCTGGGACTCCTGCCTCCTCAATCCTCCCACCACCTGTCTGCGTTTCTCATCTCACCATTGCACTTGTTAAAAATCAAAGCTTGGGCTTAAGTCCCATTGGTCCCCTGTGATAGTATAATTTACAATTATAAATATATGTTTGGTCTTCCCCCCCAATTCTGGCACAGAGCTCCTAAAACTTTTGGAATTTCCTAGGTGGAGGTATCTCTTGTGGGTGAATGAAGTGACTTTTGGAAAGCTCCTAAGGATGGGGGCTGGTTGCCAGGGGAACCAACCATGTGATTAGAGGGTTGGAACTTTCAGTCCCACCCATCAGCCCCCATCTCTGGGGAGGGGATAGAAGCTGGAGGTTGAATCAGTCACCGATGGCCAAGGGTTTAATCAGTCCTGCCTATGGAATGAAGCCTTAAAAACGCAAGAGGAGAGTGTTCAGAGAGCTGTTTCAGGGTCGGTGAACACGTGGAGATTTGCGGAGGAGAGGTGCCTGGAGAGGACATGCCCTTCCCACATACCTGGCCCTCGGGATCTCTTGCATCCTGCTGTTCCTGAGTTACAACCTTTTATAATAAACTGGTGATCTAGTAAGTAAAATGTTCTTCTGAGTTCTGGAAGCCACTCTAGCAAATCAAGCAAACTCAAGGAGGGAGTTGTAACCTCGGATCTACAGGTAGTGGTCAGGAGCATAGGTGAGAACCTGGACTTTTGATTGGCATCTGAAGTGTGGCAGGAAGAGGGGGACTTGAGAGGGGGAGGGGCAGTTTTGTAGGACTGAGCCTTTAATTTGTGGGATCTGACTATCTCCTGGTGACAGTGTCAGACTTGAGTTTCAATTGTAGGACACCCAGCTGGTGTCCAAGAATCGCTTGGTGAAGTGGGGCAACCCCACCCCACACATTAGAATTGGGTGCACAACCTTATAACCCCCATTAGCCTGGAAAGTCCAGCCTAGGTTCTTACACAAGGCCCACAGCTGAGGCGGTGACTGAACTTGGCCTGGACCCTCCGGATTATAAGGGAGAGGTCCTTGGGAATGGTCATGGAGGGAAGTACAGGAATGTGTCCCCATCAACCTGGATGAGCTCAACTCACTGGTGAATTTTCTTTAGTCTAAGTTGACACTTCTGTAAACTGGGGGGCTGATATTTCCTCCACAGGGGTCTTGGGAGAATGAAAACGGCTTTTTAGGCTGGACCAGTGCCTGGAAGTATTGCCATTTTTTTGACCCCATCCTTCCTCACTTTTCTGTCTCTCTTCCTAGTCTCCTTCAGCTTTCCAAATTCCTCTGCAGCCAGGTCCCCATTGTTATTAAAATTTCCCTAGGAAAAAAAAAAACACCACACAAGAAAAGAACACCTGGCTTTGAAATCCTGGGAGGGAGGGAGGAGGAGAGGCTCAGAAGCCTCAGAGCCTGGCCACCTGGCTGGCTTTCTTGATTTAAGGTGTGGGCAGCCAGTCTCCAGCTCAGGTATGTCATTATTTTCTGTTCCTTGTTCCACAGGAAGGATTTGGGTGGCCACATCTCACTCGCAAATCCTCAGCTGTCACCCAAGGCTGCTTGCTCTGGCACTGGCAGCCTGGGAGACATAGTGTCATAACAATTATATCAGTAAGAGCAACAATATTAATGAGAGCTGCCACTTACTAAGCACTCACTCAGTACCTGGTCTTCTTTTTGAGCGATTTGCACAGGTTAACATATCAATCTCCCTGGGTGCCCTTTGAAGTATGTGCTCCCTCTTTCAGTGTTTATTAATATATGTAGCTAGTTCTTCATCCTCAAAAGGAGATTTGAATTGGTGACTTTGCTCTCCTTATTTTATTCCTTATCACATTTCCTCCTGCTATTCTCTTTATTATTGTGTATCGTTTGCCATTCTCTTTATTATCTATCCTTTGCTATTGTTTTTACTATTGTGTACTTTTGCTAGTTTTCATTATGTAGTCTTTGCTATTATCTTTGTTGTTGTATATCCTTGTTATTGTTTCCATAACTGTGTATCTTTTGCTATTATATTTATTATTGCAGGGCCTTTAAAAAATTAGTATGGAATTCACACATAAAAGTAACCATTCAAGGTGAACAGTTCAGTGGTATTTAGTACATTTGCAAATGTTGTAGCTTTATTAGTATATGGTATAACAAATTGTGTATCGTTTTGTGTGTACTGTCTTCTTCCCAGACTATCCCATTTAAAAGCAACTCCAGTTCTGGCCAGGTAGCTCAGTTGGTTAGAACATCATCCCAATATACCAAGGTTGCAGGTTTGATCCTGGTCAGGGCACGTACAAGAATCAACTGATGAGTACTGGCTGGTGTGGTTCAGTGGATTGAGCACCAGCCTGTGAACCAGAAAGTTGCAGGTTTGATTCCTGGTCAGGGCAAATGCCTGGGTTGTGGGCCAGGTCCCCAGGTTAGGGTGTGTGAGAGGCAACCGATTGATGCATCTCTCACACATTGATTTTTCTCTCCCTCTCCTTCTCCCTCCCTTCCTCTAACAGTAAATAAATAAAAGCAATTCCACTCATTCTCCCTATCTTTTCACCCTGACCCCCCTTTTTTAACCACCTGACAATTTATCTCTTAATTCACCTTTTTATCATGTGTCTCCCCACGAGAAAATGTAAACTCTATAAGAGCAGAAGTTTCTGTCTGTTTAATTCACTGTTTATCACTTGTGTCTACAAAAGTGCCTGGCTTATCATAGGTACCAACATTTGAATAAACAAAATTATATTTGCCAATACTCAGGAGAGTGCCTGCACATGTCAGCCCTGAAAGTTTGCTAAGAAAAATAAGGAAGTGCAACACCCTTTGACACTCTTCAAAGGGGTTGTTATTGACATCCAAATGTCATCTTTGATAGAGAACCACCCAGATAATAGCGGTAAGCCAATCTTTATCTGCACAACAATGCTATGAAGAAAAATTATGAGCCCTGGCTGGTGTGGATTGAGTGATGGCCTGCAAACTGAAACTTCACTGGTTTGATTCCCAGTCAGGGCACATGTCTGGGTTGCAGGCCAGGTCCCTGGTTGGGGGCATATGAGAGGCAACTGATCGATGTATCTAGCACACATAAATCACATTGATGTTTCTCTCCCTCTCCCTTCTGTAAAAATAAATAAGTAAAAATTATGAGCCCCATTTTACAGATGAGGAAAGAGACATGGTGAGTTTTATAACTCATTCAAAGCAGGGACCTCTGTGGCTTAAGCATGTGACCATTGTGTTCTGAGGTCATGGCCAAAGATGTCACCACAGCACGGGGCACTGAACAAGGGTGTCCATGGAGAGGGGCAGGATATTTGGTGGATAGTAGGGTCTAGGCATGGAGGGATACTGAACTCCATCACTATCAATTCTAGAGCAGGTGTGGGGATTCAGAGATAGGCAGTATTGTCAGAGACCAGATGTCGGTAGGGATGGGGCATCTGGGAGGCCCGGAACTATGTAAGGATGCAACATTGAGTACCCCATGTTGGCTGTGGTGACATTCAGGACATACCGTGTTGTCAGGGCAGAAGAGAATACTTTCAGAGTGAAACGTCATGGGAGCATGGGAGCCTAGGACCTTCCCGAGTCCAAAGTGTAGAAGGACCTAGAACACTGGCAATGACTAAACACCTGAAGGAGTCTGGAATATTTTCAAGGATGGTGTGTTAATGGAACTTAGAATCTTGTCAGGACGGGCTGGAGGTACTTCAGGGTTTCGCAGATAAAACATTCAGATGGAGACCTGGGTTTACGTTGAAACAGTTGGCAGATCTGGAACGTGTCTGGGCTGGGACATTCAGGGCACTGGGGTGTTTCAGGGGTACACCGTCTGGCAGAGTGTGACGCTGGCAGTAACTGAGTGTTTTTGAAACACGGAATGTCAGCTGGGATGGGACCTTTGGAGAACGTGAATTGCCGGTTTGAGGGGAACAGCCTGAGAGGGGCAGAGCAGGGCTGGGCAAGCCAAGTAAGGAGGGCACGAGGTGGGGAAGGAGGCGGGTCAGTCAACCCGACTTTTATTGCAGGCCCTTTGTCCATTTCTTCTCCTGAGTTTTCTGTTTTCGGATTGTGTTTTGGATCCAGGAAATGTATTGAGAGACTCGGGTGTAGACGCCAGGCCGGTTGGGCTGCCCGCATGGGAAGTCTCCCCAGGAGATGATGCCATAGAGTGTCCCGTTACAGACCAGGGGGCCTCCGGAGTCACCCTGCATGGGGGAGACAGAAAGGTGGGGTCCTGGCTGGGGCCAAACAAAGGCAGAGATAGATGGGGACTTGTAGGGAGAAAGTGAACAATGGAGAGAGACAGACTCGGAGATAGGGACAGGAATACAGAGAGACAGCAACAGACACAAGTGGAGATCAGAAGGCAAACACAGAAGGACAGAGAATGAGAGAGAAATAGAAAGGCAGAGATGGACACTGAAACAGAGAGAGAGACTTCTGTGTCTCTGGTTTTCGGCTTCTCCATCTCATGAAAATACTGACAGTTTACCTTATACACCTGTTCTTGTTTTTCTGGTCCTAAATCCCACCCTGCACCACCTGCCTGCCAAATCTGCTCCTGCTTTATGGTTTCTTCACGTCATCTTGTGATTGAGTTAACCGCCCCCCGCCCCATCTGGGTGGGGTTTGTACACATGAGTGCTTCATCTCCCCTGGGCCCAGGACACTCGTTATTACTATTGATAAGGCACTCATCACTGATTCATTATCATACCCTTTCCCACTGAACCAAACCTCAACCTCCTCTCTTGGACACAGGTTGTCATTTTGCCCATGTGGTATCCACTGTACCTTATTTTGGTAATAGCCTCCTGATTTTTTTTTCATTTGGGGAATGACCCCTCTCCTATTCTCCAAGTTTGTCCCTGCCCCTTCCATCCCCCAGTTAGTCATGTGACCCAGATTTGGTCCATCAGAGAATCCCACAGCTCTGGCCAGAGTGATGGTTCCAGGACATTACTTAAGTCAGCCTTGTGAGAGTCATGTTCAGGATACTGCCCTGGCTGGCATGGCTCAGTAGATTGAGCACCAGCCTGTGAACCAAAAAGTTGTTGGTTCAATTCCCAGGGCATATGCCTGGGTTTCGGGCCAGGTCCCTGGTTAGGGATGTTCAAGAGGCAACTCGTTCATGTTTGTCTCATACATTTATGTTTCTCTCCTTCTCTTTCTCCCTCCCTTCTCCTCTCTCTAAAAACAAATAAAGAAAATCTTTTTAAAAAGAAAGAAAAGATGTTTATGTCAGTTTTAAACATGTCATGTGTGTACCTGGACCCACCCATGCCTGAAGCAGGAACCTCTGAACTTTGCAGTTACCAAAGGCATCGCTTTACTTGAGGCAGTCTGAGTTAGATTTTTTTTGTTACTTGTAACCAAAAAACACCCTAATTCTTATGCATGTCAACCCCAGGCTCTGGGCAACCAACTCTGGGCAGGCAAACTGGGGCTTAAGATGAATTATGTTTGTCATCCATGGGTACTTTGCTCTGTCTTGACTCTCTGTGCTAGGAGACAGCTCACCTGACACAGCCTGGTTCTGCAGAGGCTACAGGCAAGTCCCTTCCCTCCAGCATCGGTCCCTCCATCCTGGCCTCCCACCCAGGCCCATGGCAGCCCTGGCCCCCATCCCCTTGTGGTCTCACCTCGCAGGAGTCCTTGCCGCCCTCCTGTGTGCCAGCACACAGCATGTTGGGTGTGATCCTGCCGGGGTAGACTTGACGACATTCCTCATCGGAGCGTAGCTGGATGTTGGCACACTGCAAGGTTTGTGGGTAACTCACTAGGGAGGAGAGAGAGGAAGGTCTAAGGGTATCTTTCTCTCGGACAGGCTATGAGACTTGAAGAGAGAGCTGTGGGGGAGAGCCAGAAATGTGGAGAAGGATGGGGGAGGGGTGAAAGGAAAGCGGAGGGAGAGATGGAGGGGGATGGGGCTGGGAACTGAGTGTGGGGAGATACACATGGGAAGGGAGAACGTCAAGACAGACGGGGGTGGGAGAAATAGGAAGACAGAGATGGTGAGAGTACTGGAGGCAGAGAAAACACAGGAGAGACGGAAGGGATTGCAGGAGGAGGGAAGTGGTGGAAAGAGAGATGGGGAATGCCGGGCAGACAGACGCAGAAATGAGGCTGGCAGAGAGCTGGGAATGGCAGAGGAGACACCCAGGGCTCTGCTGCTGTTGGCCAGCCCTGCCTTCACACACACCTAACTCACATACAGAGGACGTGGTTGTTTCTATTTTATCCCAGTTAATAACGATCAAAATATCACTTGCTTTGTAAATTCTATATTTCTGTCCTTACTTAAAGATATTTATGCAAAATATATAATTTATATACAAATGTATTTAAATGAATGCATGAACACAGAATTATAATGTAAAATCTAATTTTTCTCATTTGCATATTTATATACAGATACATGTTTATTTTTGTAAATATGCACATAACAGAGGATTTACAATTTTATATTTATAAATTTATATAAAGTCATACAACTATATAATATATGACCTATAACATATATAACTTTATGTTTATCAATTTATATAAAGGACATATAATTATAACATGTAACTATATTTTAAAATTTATATTTATATAAAAGATATACAAAATTTTATTTATTATGTATGATGTATAATATGTAACTATATTTTTTCTTTATAACTATTTTTTAACTTTCACTTTTATATATAAAAGAATCATCCTCCAGCCTACTCTCATCTCTGCCCCAGTTTCCCCGGTCGCCCTGTGAGACCCCAGGCCCCCTGTGCAGTGGTGGGGTGGGTGGTGCGTACCCTCAGGGCTGGTGGTGGTGCCCCAGCCGGACACCCGGCAGCAGGTGCCAGTGGGGAGGCAGTCGCTGTGGAAGAGAGGCAGGGTGCTGATGTGGCTTGTGAGCTGGACTGGGGACTGCAGCTCCAGAAGCATAATGTCGTGGTCGTGGTTCAGGTGGGTGGGGCTGCTCTGGTACTGGGGGTGGGGGAAAGAGCGCACCACATCCCTCACCTGCTCTCCGGCCTCCAGATGCCACAGGGTGTGCTTGCCCAGGTAAACTCTGTACCCGCTGTGGGTGCAGGAACAGGGCAGTTAGAGGAAAAGAGGAGCCCTTCCCCAGCTCCAGCCTCTTCTCCATCTCACCTTCCTCATCTCCAAACACATCTCCTCCCACATCAACTCCAATCCCATCCAAATAACCTACTTCAAGTCCAGTTCCATCCCCAGTACCCTCTCCTGCCAAACCTTATTCTCACCCATTCCGATCTCAGGCTAAATTCCAGCCTCATCCTCAAATGCAACTCCACCCAGTCCCATTGCCACCCCTACCCCAAACTCCCCTGGCCCCCACATACTCTTTCAGACAGTGTGCTGCTGTGATGACCCATTTGGGGTGGATGAGGACCCCCCCACAGAGCAGCCGCCCCTGTACCATCAGGGCTGCCTGCCAGGGCTGAGAGTGGCGGGGGCAGGTGTAGCCACCGGGGAGAAACCCTTTGGTCCCATTGATGCCTTTGAGAATCTTGGAATACTCCTGACAGAAGCCTGGTGAAGGAGAGAAAATGTTAGTGAACTGGGGTCCAGGCAGAGGAGGAGGCCTGGAGGGGTAGTTGCTGAGCTTAGGGAGAGGGTCAGAATGTGCTCCAGGTGACCCGGAACCGAGGATTCATTTCTTGGCCACTGGGAGTTGCCATTTCCCATGTAGTGGAGATGAGTCAGAGCAGAGATGACAATGTCCTTTTCCATAGAAGTGTCATACCCGTCATTGCAGCATTGAAGGAAGAGCTCACTGATGAGGATGCTTCTGATAAGCAGAAGTGCGGCTTTCTCCCCACCTGCACTTTCTCTCATTCCAACATGGGGATGGATTTCAGGAGGCGGAAGTGAGATGGATATACACAACCACCTAGGCAGCCTCCATTCATTCAACCATCCATCTATCCATCCATCCATCCACCCACCCACCCACCCACCCACCCACTCATCCATCTTTCTAACACCTATGTATTGGGTTCCTCTGTGGCTTCAAATAGCATCCATAGGCTAACTACTCCCAAATTCAAAGTTTCCAGGACTCTGAATCATTTCATCTTTGCTAATCTCTTTGATCCCATCTCCTACCTCTCTGCTCTCCACTTACTCTGTTCCAGTTTCATGGGTCTTCAAACACACCAGACCTTTTGCATTTGCTGCTTCCTCTTTTTCAACAATTTTTTCTCTACACCTGTGCTGTTCAATATGGTGACCACTAGCCACACATGGCTACTTCCATGTAGATTAATTACAATGAAACTTAAATACTGAGTTCTCACCCTGACTGGGATGATGCCCCCAGGGGGTTAGAGTGTCACCCAGATACACCAAGTTAGTGGGGGTGATCCTCGGTCAGGGCCCACACAAAAATCAACCAACGAATACATCAATAAGTGAAACAACAAATCAATGTTTCTTTCTCTTTCTCAAATCAATAAAAACAAATTCAGTCCTTCAGCTACACCAGTCATATTTGAAATGCTCAATAACTCCAAGTGGCCAGAGGCCACCATATTGGACACTACAGACATGGGAAGGAGACAGACCTAGCACCTTGTCTGACACACAGTAGGTGCCCAACCAGTGTCAGGCACTGTCTGGCACTGGAGACACAGCAGATGACAATGGAATAGAGAGAGTCCAATCCTGAATGTGCTGCTTTCTGGCTGGGTGATCCTGTTATAAGCTGCCAGCCTCAGTTTCCTCAGCTGTAAAGTGGGGACGATGACAGCTTCCTCTCTCATGGGGAAGTTGTAGGATTCAGTAAAATCCTACATCCAAGACATACACAGCACCCAGTAATGGAAAACTGTTGTTGTTATTAGCTACAACAGGGGGTCCCTAGCTCTGTGGCCAGCAAGTCCCTTCCCAACCTACATGAGCAGTGGGATTAGCTCAGTGGTTCTCAAAGGTGGGGACAGAGGTCATTGGTGGGTACAAGCTCAGTTTAGGTGGTAAGTAACATCTCTGCAGCCTCAGAAACTGATTCACTGTCCAGCTCTCTCCCAATTCTGATTTTACCAAAGAAGAAGTCTCAGGATGATGCCAATATGCTTTTAACACCTGTAGAATCTTCACTGAGCTCACTTTTAATTTTTTTGGTAAAGACTTTATTTATTTATTTTTAGAGAGAGGGGAAGGAAGGGAGAGAGGGAGAGAAACATCAATGTGTGGTTGCCTCTTTCATGTGCCCCACTGGGGACCTGGACTACAACCCAGGCATGTGCCCTGACTGGGAATTGAAGTGGCGACCCTTTGATTCACAGGCTAGTGCTCAACCCACTGAGCAACACCAGCCAGGACTAATTTTTTATTTATTATTTTTTCTTTTTCATTGAATTTACTGGAGTGAATGGTTAACAAAATTATACAGGTTTCAGGTGCACAATTCTACAACACATCAGTGTATTGCATGTTAACCACCCCAAGTCAAGCCTCCTTCCATCACCATTTACCTCCCCATACCCTCCTCCACCTCTCCCTTCTCCTCCCCCCAGCAATCACCACACTGTTGTCCATATTTATGAGTTTTTTCTTTTTTCTTTTTCTTTTTTGCTCTATCCCTCCACCTCCAGTGCTCCCCACACAGCTGACAGCTTGTTTTCTATCTACGAGTCTGAAAGCCAAAGTACTAATTCAAAAGAATATATGCATCCCTACATTCACTGCAATGTTATTTACAATAGCCAAGATTTGGAAGCAGCACAACTGTCCATCAGTAGATTAGTGGATAAAAAAGTGGTGGTACATATACACAATGGAATACTATTCAGCCATAAAAAGAAGGAAACCTTACCCTTTGTGACAGCATGGATGGACCTGGAGAGCATTATGCTTAGTGAAATAAGCCAGTCAGTGAAAGACAAATACCATATGATCTCACTCATATGTGGAATCTAATGAGCTAAATGAGCTCACTTTTTAAAACCCAAAGGGAGCAGAATCCTCAGCCTGCAACCTAAAATTTATTAAGTCGAACCATCTGCCATCACTGTTTTGGGAGAGGTTGACAATTGGTCCAACCCAATAAACATACCATTTTTGTTTCATTGCGCAGGATATTTTTTCTCTTTTATTTATAGCAAAGAATGTGGTTTTCCACTTAGGACAATGATATAAACTTCTAATGTAATTTAATTTAAATAAAAAATAATCGATTCTACGCAGACCATTAAGTCTAACATGATAAAAATGGGCCCTGGCTGGGTAGCTCAGTTGGTCAGAGCATCATCCCGGTGCGCCAGGGTTGCAATTTCGATCCCCTGTCAGGGCACATACAAGAATCAACCCGTGGTCCTGGCTGGTGTGGCTCAGTGGATTGAATGTGGGCTTGTGAAGCAAAGGGTCTCCAGTTTGATTCCCAGTCAGGGCACATGCCTGGGTTGTGGGCCAGGCCTGCAGTAGGGGGTGTACAAGGGGCAACCACACATTGATATTTCTCTCCCTCTCTTTCTCCTTCCCTTTCTCTCTCTCTAAAATAAAAAAAAAAATGAACCCATGAATGCATCAACAAGTGGAACAACAAATTGATGTTTCTTTCTCTCTTCCTTCCTCTCTCTCTCAAAAAAAAATCAGTAACTAAAAAAATAAAATAATGAAGAGGGTTTGCCAGGACATAATGTCCAGGATGCAAGGAGCAGGGCAGACAGTGTGGATTAAGGATCCTGACTCAGGCACCACTTTGGGGTTGGACTCTTCTGCCAGAGTTTTGGCTTTTGAAGCCATAAAACTAATTATAGTTCACATACCTCCCAAGGCTGTTGGGGACTCCACAAGCCAATGCATGTGGAGTACCTAGCCCAGGGTGTGGCACCCAGGAGGGGCTTGGGACCTGGGCAGGAGTCCTGGGAGTGTCTCCAAAGGAGACAAGCCACCCCACCTCCAGGCCAAGGGTGGTGCTGGGTGTCAGGTGCCCGTGGACCTCTCCCTCCTCTGGGTCTCAGCTCAAGGGTCTAGTTGTTTGGGTGTGTGTGGTGGGGGGGTGGCGGGGACAAGGCCACTTGGCAGGGAGCTGTCATTGCACCTCTAAGCTCCTGGCTTGGCCCCTTGAAGCCATCCCCTGTGTTACAATTGTAACTAATTATCAGCTAATTATTGGAATAGTGTCTGCAGCTGAACCGCTAGGCTTTGGGCACTGAGAGCAGACACTCTGTCTCTGCTTGCACACACCCAGCACACCACCTGGCAAGCAGCGCTATTATTTTTAATTGAATTTACTGGGGTGACATTGGTTAATGCAATTATATAGGTTTCAAGGGTACAAGCCTATAATACATCATCTGTATGAATGATCGAATGAACAAATGACCCACAAATGGGGTTTCCAGAGTTGGCAGGGAGACGACTAACTCTGGGAGGAATCAGACAGGTTTGGGGTCACCCCCAGGATGAAAGGAAGACCTAGAAGGTTCTGGAAGGAGCTGCAATGGATAGAGAACACAGCTAACAAAATAAACTTGAGGACTAACTTTCCATCCCTTCTGCCTGCCAGGCACTCGGCACAGACAGGCGTTACCTCAACAACCCTTTGTGGAAGGAACTTATGTGTTCCCATTTTACAGATGGGACAAGCTAGCCACAAAAAAGCGAAGTTACTTGCTCAGAGTGGCAGCGGTCAGGATTCGAACCTGTGTCTCTGGGACTCCTCTCACTCAGGGAGGCCAGGGGGTCTGGAATGTGGGAGGGGCTGCTGGGCTGGGGGTGGGCTTTCTGGCGCAGAGTAAGACAGAAAAGGGGCCTGGTGGGGAAAGTGGGCTGACCCCAGCCAGAAAACCAGGTCACTCAGGGATAAGCAGGAAGCTTTCAGGGCTGTCCCCACGGGACCCTGCCCGGAGTGGGCGGGGGGGCGGAGCTCGCGGCTTCCAGCCCCCTCCCCGCGTCCTGACCCCTCCTACCATTGTCCCGGGTGGCCACCCCGCCTCCACCCCCGCGCATTCTTACCGCCTGACAAGGTCATGGTCAGGAAGGCGATCGCAGTGGCCAGGGACCACATGGCGGATCCCGGGTGGGCGGCAGGGCGGGAGGGGCCTGGGAAGTTGAAGGGAGGTGTTAAGGACTGGCCGGAACCCCCATCTCTGATCACCCCCCGCCCCGCCCGCCTTAACTCTGCTCCGGAGCTTCTCAGTTGTCGATCTCCTTCCTTCACTCTGAGAACCCCTCCCCAAACCCATCCGGGAGGCGGGGCAGCGTGCACCTCCCCCCCCCCCCCAGGTCACTGGCTTGCTGCCCCTCAACCCCGGAAGCCAGCCCTCCGCCCCTGCCCTCCAGCAAGCGGGGTCCTTGGTGCTTCCCCCGGCCCCTCTCCCGGTCCTGCCTCCCCTCTCAGGCTTTGTTCTGACACCTGGTCTCAAACTGAGCTTCCCATCTTTTTGCGGCTTCAGCTCTCGGTCTCTGCAGATTCCTATCTATAACTGAGCCTTCGGCTTCCCGCTCCGTCTCCCTGACTCAGCTCTGTTCCCTCTCTCTATTCCCCCGCCCCCTCCCCTCAGTGCTCCAGCCCCTGCCCCAGGCAGACCCTACCTGGGTGAGGGGCCTGGGTGAAGAGCGTCCGCAGCCAGCTGCCTCCAACTTCAGCCCCGACCCATGCCTTTTAACCCCTGAACTCCCTCCCCCAGCGCCCTCAGCATTTCCCGGTTGCTGGCCTACCCCTCTCCACCCCCAATGGCTCAGCAGGCTGTGCTAGGCACCCCCCCAGCCTGGGCTTGGCCCTCCGCTTGGGGGTGGAGCTTTCAGGACAAGCTGGGACCCAGATTTGGCCCTGCCCAAAGCCCGAGTTGAACCCACTGTGAACTTGGAGGCAGCAGGACCCACCTAGAAGGAAGGAGAAAACTCATCACTTCCTTCCCCAAACCCACCCCAAATCCCCATGACCCTCCCTTGCAACATCACCTGACTGCCAATCTCCACTCCAACCCTGTGCACATTCTTAATCTGTATCGCCCCCCAGAAGGCCGTTTTCTACCCTCTTCCCACCCTCTGCCCCATTTCAACCGTACCCCTGCCCCCTGGCCTGTCCGTCAAAACAAGAGCCATCCGCAGCGTCATCTCAAATTTACCTCTCCGCATCAAGTGCAACACATCTAAATTCCAGTTCTTGGCCTCCTCTCCAGCCCAACTCTATCTCCAGCCCATTTTCTTCAACAAAACAACACACACACACACACACACACAGAAGGATGCCCAGACTTACTCTACTATTTGCCCTTCCCACCGCCCCCCCCCCCCAATCAGGCCCAAGAAGGTAATCCAGGTAGGTGATTGAAAGTCAGCTGTCCTTGAAGTAGGATGTGGGCATGGATTGGGGCAGTGCTTTGGATAAGTGGCCTTTGAGGAGCAGGGTCACATGGGGTGAGGGAGTCCAAGGGGATGGAGGCAGTGAGGGAGAAGCATGCGGTGGGGGGGTGGGGTGGGGGGGACTGGTTTGAGGGAAGAGGAAGAAGGAAGAGGGTGTTTTGGGAATGAGTAGGAGTCTCCTGGAAATGTCACTGGGTGGGGCTGTGACTTAATCCTCCGGGTGGAGGGGACAGGATTAGGGATTAGGGATTAGGGGTAGAGGTGGGGTCAGAATCTGGAAGGAGGCCAGGGATGGGGACCAGAGGAAGTCTGGAAAGAGAGCCATGGTGTCAGGATAAGGGTAAGGGGTTGAGCCAGAGGGAGTGAGTTTTAACATCAACGTCGGAGTGGTTCGTAGAGGGGAAAATTGAAGTTTGGATATAGGGGTCAAGTCTTGTGTTAGATAATTTTTTAAAAACATTCTAACCATGACTCTCCTACATATAGAAAATGAACATATGCTTCAGATTTTATTTTGACCTGGCTGGGTAGCTCAGTTGGTTAGAGCATTGTCCTGTTACACCATGGTTGAGGATTTGATCCCCAGTCAAGGTACATATAAGAATCAACCAATGGCCCTGGCTGGTGTGGTTCAGTGGATTGAGTGCTGGACTGGGAACCAAAGGGTCACTGGTTGGATTCCCAGTCAGGACACACGCTTGGGTTTCAAGCCAGGTCCCCAGTGGGGGGTGCTTGGGAGGCAACCACACATGGATGTTTCTCTCCCTCTCTTTCTCCCTCCCTTCCCCTCTCTCTAAAAATCAGTAAATAAGATCTTTTAAAAAAGAATCAACCAATGAATGCATAAATAAGTGGAATAATAGATATCTGTTCCTCTCTTCCTTCCTCTCTCTAAAAATCAATAAAATTATTTTTACTTCTATTCATTAATAAATGATAAAACTAGCAAGATGTTACAAAGAACCACACATATATATAGGCAATAAGGAATGCTGAAATGAATTTATAAATAGATATAAAACTGTCTTATTCTACGTGAGGGGGGATTGTATTTCTACCTGCCAAAACTGATTTGCATACTTATGGACAAGAATTATTTGCCTTGCTTTTGGCTAGCTGTAATTTATAGAGTTGTTAAGCAGCTCAAAGACAGTAAGAGAAACAGAGACACCCCCCCAAAACCAGTGAACCCATCTAGGCCTCCATCGAAGACACCTGTTGCACCCCTAATTTTTCCATCCACTAGGAAGAAAAGTTTGTGGTCAGGTTTAGGGTGGGTCTGAAGAGAGCTTTGGAACTGCAAGTGAGTTTTGGGAGAAGAATGGACATGTAGCGAAGATGGGATTGGAGTTAGTTTAGGGGATCGGGTTGAGTTGTAGTTGGGAGGCATTTGGCGTTAAGTTGGGTTGGGGCTGGAGATGGGGCCAAGCCTAACGTTTTGGATGGGGAGGTGTTGACATACAGTTGAATTGGTGTTGTGGGTTGACATTGACAATGAGGACTAGACATGAGGTTGAGCATCGGTGTCGATGCTCACCGGGTATTGCTGGCGGTGGGCTGGGTCATGGCTGTGAACTCCTCTTGTGGTGACAGAAACACAGTTGTTCTTCCCCACTTTGGAATTCCCCTACCTCATGGGGGCTGGACCCAGAGTGGATACTAAGTTCACTCTTTTCTGGTGGAGTGGCAAGAGGGAGGATGCTGGGTTAAGTGAGGTGACAGGCCTGTGTGGGAAGAAGTCAGGGTACCTGTGCCCTCTTGTGGCCTGGGTCCACAATTCTACAAAATTCTTTCTCTTCTGGGAAGGGCTGGGACCTGGAGTGGGGGTGGCTAGCTTTGGCATTGCTGAGGGGTGAGTGCCAGGTCAATGCTGGTATTCGAGCTTACGATTGGCCGGGACTTAGGCTGACTGACTACTGTCAAAGTGAGGTCATGGACCCACCGAGGGTTGGGCATGTTCCACCCCCTCATTTGATTGACTGGAGCCCACGGAGGGCAGTGAGGTGATGAAAGTCACACACCAGGTAGACCAAGTCCGGGTGCACTGTCTCACAGGGCAGAGTCTTCCCTGCTTCAGAGAGCAGGGCTGGGGAAAGAAGGACTAGAAAAATGGTCAGTGTTCCTAGTGGTTTAGAGCTGAGACTCTGGAGCTAGACTGCCTGAGTCCAAGTAACAAGGATGCTCTGTGCCTCAGTGTCCCCATTTGTGCAATGGCACTATCAATAGCACCTACCGCATAGAGGAGGGTTAAATGAATTAATATTGGAAGATGCTTATGCAAGAGCCTAATATGGACCCAGAGCCACATGCTGGCTTATTAAATAAGTAAATCCAGAGATGGAGGCAGCCCGAGGTTCTTGGAAGCCCCACCCTCACTTGGCTTCAAAATGGGGTTCTTTGTGAGGCAGAAACTGGAAGTTCTGGTTGGAAGTGCCGGCCGGGATGAGAAAGTTGGCCCCACAACTAAGCCCAGAGGAGAGGCCCTGATACGAACATGAAGGGAGGGGGCAGACAGAGAAAGACAAAGGATAGATACACAGAGGTAGACGACGTAGGTGGGAGAGGATGGGAAACACAGAGACAGACAAAAAGCCACCAACACACAGAGACAGAGAGGTGTCCCGGGAAAAACCAGACTCGAGATGCACAAACTCGAGAGCCAGAAATTCTTTAGAGCTGGATCTTGGTGTTACAGATGTCGGAGGCCATCTTTCTGTGCAGCAAAGACAGATCACTGTGCACCCTTCCGATCAGCAAACACTAGAAAGGTCAGCCTTGCCACCTACCTGCAGGTGTGCCCACATCCTCTGCCTCCTCTCCTATTTCTACAGATGAACAGCCTGCACCTCCACCTAGAACAGATGCCTCCACTCGTGTTGGGTATCCTGTCCCCTCTTGTCTTCTTGAGGACATTCCTTCAGCCAGCCAGCACGCTCTGCTGCCTTGTCCACATCATCAGTTTTTTCCCCTCCTAGTGAGCTGTCCCATCAACACACAAACATGCTACAATTTCTCCCATGTTCTAAAGACCCTCCCCTCCTTCACACTCTCCTGGCTGGATTTTTGTTCCCCTGGACTGCAATTCTTCTCTGAAGAGCTGGCTATACTCACTCTGCAATTTCTCTCCTCTTGTTCTCTCTTGAGCCCCTTCTCTGCAGGCTTTCTCCCCGACTGCTCTGCCAACAACAGGGGCACTAATAACTGGCACAACCCAGCAGCCAGCTCTGTTGGATGTATCTTACTGAATTATCAGCAGCATTTAAGAAGTGGATCACCCCTGTTCCTGCAGAGTGTCTCTTCTCAGCTGCTGGGGCATGGCTTCCTCATAACTCACTGGCTGCTCCTCACCCATGTCTGAGGCTATTTGCTCCTCACCTCCCCAAGCTCTACATGGTGGGGCATCTCAGGCCCTCTTCTCTGCTGTATCTCTGCTCACTCCCTTGGTGATCTCATCTGGTCTCATGGCTTTAAATACCATCCACTTGCTGATGACTCCCAACTTTGTGTCTCCAGCCAGACCTCATTCTAGAACTCTTGGCTTCGCATCCAACTGCCTACTCAACATCTCCAAGTTCAAAACCAAACTCACGTCCTCCACTTCCCTCACGTCCCAGACAGACTCCTCTTGCAGTCTGGGTCTTCTCGGTAGATGGTCTCTCCATCCTTCCATCCCTTGACCCAAACCTCAGTCTCGCCCTTGAATTCCTTTGCTCATACCACACGTCCACTTGGTTACCAAACCCTGTCAGCTCTGCCTTCAAAACAGATCCAGAATCTGCCCGTTTCTCAACACCGTCCATCCTCGCCGCCCTGGTCCCTCCCAGCCGCCATCATCTCTCACCCTGGATTATTGTACGTGTCCTATCTGATGGCTCTGTTTCTGTCCTTGTCCACCTACATTCTATTTGCGACACAGCAGCCAGACTGACCTTTTAAAAAGTAAGTCAGGGCAGGCCACTCCTCTTCTCAAAGCCCTGCAATGCCTTCCACCTCACTTGGAGTGAAAGTCGAGTTCCCTCAGGGTGTCCCGCAAGGCTCTAGACCATTGGACCCAGGAGTCCTCTGATGTCATCAACCTCCTCCCCTCCTGCTTCTTTCATGCCGCCGGGCACACTCCCACCTCAGGGCTGTTCTTCACACTGTGGAAACTCTCTTTCCAACCAGCTGTCTACGTGGTTTCTTCTATTCTCGTCTCAATGTAGGAAACATTGGTACCTGTAGGGAATTTTTGGTGAGTTTATTTGAGCCAAATTCATGTCAATCCTGGGAAGCAACATCTCAACGGACTGACAAATGGTGTGGAGGATGGCAGTGTAGCACTTTATTTTATACATAACACTCAAAGGAGGAGACACAGGGGGGTTAGATGAAATCC